AATGTTTTTACTTTTCTTGAAAGGAAAATATAATATTATTTTATATTTGGTTTATTCTCTTCTTTTAGGACTCCTTTTCTAGTAGGAAAGGTTTTAGGACTCTATAAATATAGGTTTGTTTCTTCTAACACAAGAACAATAACATCCACAATGTAGTAGTTTAACAGTCTTGTTTATGGGGAGATTTATTCTCTCTAAAGTTTCAATGTTTTTCTTTATATTAGTTTTGATATAATACTATTTTGATTTTTAGTATAAGTTTTTCTTATCTGATTTATCAATCAAATGATTTGCAAATTGCAAACTTCCGCATGACGCCCTAATCACCCTTCAGAACCCAACACATTCTATATAAATGTCAAAAAAGACTTTAACGATTTTGAATGTAACGACATTAACTCAATATAGTTGTCCTTAAATACTTTTGAGAAAAAAAATCTATTGTCACAAAATATCTTTTTTTGTTGTAATGTCGAAGAAAGCGCGTACCTTTGGAGGTGAAGGACGAGGAACAATAATGTTTTGAACACGACAACGTTTGTTAGTAACAGAAGTTGGACAATCCACAAATTTTTTGCATCATTTGTGTAGCAAAATGTAACTTGATTCAAATAAGAATGAGTTGCATTAATGTCTTTGCAAGTGAAAGACACATCTTTATTGTTTGAAACTTGTTTGAATGAGTTCAAGATTTCAACATTGTTGTATGTAGCAGAGTCACAAGGGACTATTCCATTTGAGTTTATTAAATGACTTTGTAATAAATCTCCAATTTCACTATCCAATCTTGAAGCCCTATTGAAATATTGTGTTGGAGTTTTGAACCTTTCTATTGTACATGTTCCATATGTATTCCAAGCTTCCTTCCACATGTCTTTTGGATCTTGTTTAGTGAGGGAGGGCCAAAATAGGCTGAGTTTATTTACCATCGCAGTATCAAACTGTGACAAACAAAATTGGAATTATCTTGTTAGCAGTGGTGGAGGCAGGAATTATTTTCTGGGTTTGGTTAACCCCTTTAATAAATGTGAATTCTTGTTAGTATTGTTGAAGATATAATTATATAAAAAGATCATCTTTCTGATCTTTTAATCTTTTAGATGAAATTAATAAAATGATCGAGGGTCTGAATCTCATAACCTCCACCCATTAGAAGGAAAATCAAATAAAATTTCATGTGTTTGACTTAAAGAAAATAATCAGGCTCACATGGGAAAGGAACTGCATTGAAATTGTAATAAAATAAATAAAAACATATTTTACCTAACAATTTGATCTTTTAGACGAAATACTCACAAAAAATATTTATACTTTCCAAATCATGCAATAGTACCGATTACTAGAAATACATGTATTCTCACATCGGTCAATTAGCAATAATTTTTCTGTAAAACTTTCGGAAATCAGTTTCATGTAGCTTGACAAGGAATTAATTTTA